GTTCGTTCGTTCGTTCGTTCGTTTGATCGATCGATCAATCGACGTGGTGTGCAATGCAAGGCATTTGAAGTTTAACTATAAAATTTATCTTTTTTTTTTTTTACTCTAAAAGGTGTCTAAAAGATTTCAATATCATCAAGCATGGGAGCCCAGAATCATCAGTTTCTCGCAAGATCTTCTCTGATCATTGGAATGTAGCTGTTGCGCCCAATGCAGGTGACATCCTGTGGGATCATCTATCCGTGGACCCTGAGAGCTGGTGGGCAAGAGCGCTGATCATCAATATCGTGTTGTTTATCTTCGTATTGTTTGTGACCACACCCACTGTCATGATTACTATGGTCTATCAATTCAAGACTTATGTCCGTAAGTACCAAACGACCACCATCAAACGATCTCAGTCTTCTCTGATGAAAGTCAGGGCATGGCGAACTAACTGGGGAAAAAAATTAGTAATTTGGAATCTATAGTGCTGGGATTTGTAGGGGAAGGAGAATTGCAGGACCTACTCACATGAGATGCTGAGTCAGGGTACGGGTGACTCAAAGATTGAGTTGGAATTTAGCGTGGTTTTGCGGAGGGTGAAAAAGCGGAGCCCTTGAATCAAGACCCAACAAACTCTACTCACGTGTGATGCTTAGTCAGGGGTCGGGAGACTTGAAAATGGAATAGAATTTTTAATAGCGTGTTAGGCTTTGCAGAGTAACTCGCAGATCAAATTAGAAATTAGTGGGTTTTTGCGCAGAAACCTATAACAGGCTTTATAAAATAACTGTTATAAACTCGCATTCTGATTAGTTGGGAGCGCATGCTTTATGAGAGCACACAGCACGCAAGCGCCCTTTACATTTTATAAAAGAAGTGCTTTTCCTAACACTTCTCTGCACAGTGCCCGTGCACGCGTTTTCTATTTCTTCAAGATAAAATTTCTTAATTTTAAAAAGGGAGAAAGCCAACGAACTCTATTATGCTGCTAAATTCCGGTTATGATTAACGGCTGCTACACGCTATGTTTCCTGAAAAGTCAGGAAATTTTGTCAATTAATAAAGGATTCATTTATTTTTCAGAGTCCAAAAACCCCAAACTAGTGATCACACCAAATCCTTTCTTCACCCAGTTTCTTCCCACTATCATGCTGTGGACGTTCTCTGCTACTCTCCCTGCTGTTGTCTCTTATTCTAGTTATTTTGAAGCTCATTGGACAAGGTAAGGGTTATTTAAAAATTAAGTGGAAGTGAATATCGGAGAATATTTACCGAGGCGCGAGTCTTCGAGCAAAATCATTCAAGATTTACTTGTTTGGCGAAAACTTTTTTTTTTTTTCTTAATAAATAAATAAATAGAAACTATTGTGTCAGTGTTATCAAACGCTTATTAGCAGCATTTATTTATTTTATTTGTTTATTTTTATCTTTATTTATTTTTTATTTAATGGCCTGAAAATTCATCATTTCAAGAAGTGATACCTCAGTTTTGTAAATTTTCTCAATTCTGATTGGCTAATAAATTTTCTCAGATCAGCTGGGTGTCATGTGGTCTCCTACGCAGCCGCCATTAGTGTTGTCACATAACGCTCACTCCCCTAAGTCATTCAACATTCTTCATAAACGTATGATTCATTTTATTCCAGGTCTAAAAGGGAACATTCAGTTATGATCAAGACCTACATATTCTTGTTGCTGATGGTGATCTTTTTGCCATCACTTGCACTTACCAGGTAAATGATATCAAGCAGTTCTCTTGCTTTATTCACAAATATTTATTATTAGTTAAGATGACGTAATTAGCACTATATAAAGTCAAAAAGACCTTTTCAACGTACTCGTTCGTAACATTTTTTCAATTCAGACCATACGATTAAGACCCGGCTCGCATTGGTGAGAGGCGGCGCATTAGCAGCGCACGCCACCCGTGCTTTCCATAAATAATGATAATAGAGAGTTTTAGATTGACTTTATTTTTCTCCCCGCAAACGGCAAACGTGACCACGTTTTCATCGTTTTCCTTTATTTTACTTTACCTTTTACAAACCTTCTCACCAAGCGCAAATACTCTTTTGTTTTTCTACTACTTGGACTTTTTTGCGATTCTTTTTCAGTCATTTAAAAGAATTTGTTACTAGTCAACTGACGTTTCACGTTTGCCGTGAACGTAAATCTGAAACTCTCTAATAATAAAATCGTAATAATGTAGCTGCTCGAGCGTGGTCTGAATTAGGAAAACATTATGCCTTAAGTCCCCTAATCAGTAACAATGACGCCGGTGGAGGGAGGGATGTTATATTCCACATTTTCAACATCAAGTCATATCTCATATCGGATCATTGTTCTTTTCTAGCGCTGACACCCTCTTCCGCCTGACGTTTACTGGAAGCCCAAATTTCACCAAACAGCTGGCGTAAGTTATTTTGTTGAGTGTATTATAAGCGGAAAATCGCACGATCTTCTCGTGCAATTCAAAATTGATAGATACTCGTAATGTTTTAAAAGTTCTCAAATTGACTGGCCTAAATGCTCGTTCTTCCAACATCACTTGTACCTACCCGAATTGTACTCGAGATCGTGCGATTTCCTATAGAGGCTTTGCACCATCACGTGATGGCAGCCATGACAGGAGGCAGGAACAACTGAATCTGGTCTAATCTGATTTATATTAGAAAGAATTCAGTGGAAAATAATCTATTGTTTTGCCTCCTGTCATGGCTGCTATCACGTGAATGGTGCAAAGGCTCTACAGCAGTTTTCGTATGACTTTGAAAAGCTCGCGTCACGAACACTGTCGTGACACGGCAAGGCATACGTGCCAGGCCAATCACATTGCACAATAATTTACTCTGCATTCAATCAAATGCCCGCAACACGGCGTGGACACGGTCACGCAAACTTCACGGAACTGCCAGACAAAACACATTGCGCGAGAGAAAAAAACAGCCAATCAAAAGTCTAGAAAACATCACTATACTATCACAGCACGGCACGCTTACGGCACTGAGCTTTCCACGGTTATGCGAAAACTGCTCTATACAAAATGAAGAACTTAAAATAACGTTCTAATTCCCTCACATTCCAGGTGTGCATTTATGCCCAATAATGGTGCGTTCTTCGTGAACTATTTAGTGACCTCAGCTCTTATTGGTACGGCTCTTGAGCTGTGTCGCTTCCCTGAGCTAGCATCATACTTCGTGCGCATGTGTTTTGCCCGACACGATGGCGAGAAGAGACTCGTCAGGAAGGTAACCTCATTAATAGTGTGCCAGCCATTTTCTTCTTCTTCTAGCAATTCTTTAGTCTGCAGGGTTCGTACTGCTACTGGATTTTCTGGAATTTCATCCTCTCCACTTCAAATTCCCACTTTCTGCGTAATGTTTTCCCATTTCAGATCACGTGACATTCCCTAGAGTAGAATTTCTTTGTTTAACGGTTGCGCACGAGAAGACACACAAATGGATGGATACATCTCAAACAAAGAATCTTATCCTCAAGAGAATGACACGTGGTCTGATATGGGAAAATATTACGCTCACACCCAAAAGGTCTATTCATGTGTCTTTCAAACAAGCACGGGTGGCGTGCGCTGCTATGCGGCCCGAGTTCGAGTCCTGCCGATCTCGATGTCGTATGAGTAGAGTTGTTTGTTGGTTCTCTCCTGTGCTTCGAGGGGTTTTCTCCATAATTTTTATGATTTTTTCCCCTTTTTTTAGGAATCTGTAGCAGAGTTTGCCTTCGGTCATCAATACGCATGGATGATCGTCATCTATTCCGTCATGGCCGTCTATTCCATTACTTGTCCCCTGGTTACACCCTTTGGTAAGCTCACCATACGCATTGTACACACAATCACTTGCTAAACAAATACAGTATGAAAACTGTTTCACTTTCACTCACACAATATCTTATGCGTATATTAGCCTTTCCGAGGTCGAGGAAAAAAGTGGGTCGAGTTGGCAGTGCATTGTGGGACTGTTTTAGGGGACAAAATAGACAGTATCTTTGAAATATATCCTTAACATAGGCTCTGCAATGCCATTTTGACCTACGTTTTGACTCAACCTCAGATTGGTGAGTTAGCCGTGCCCTGACTTAGATCAACCCAGAGGTTGTTTCAGGGTCTGATCTGCGAGTTAGCCGTGCCCTGACTTAGATCAGCCCAGAGGTTGTTTCAGGGTCTGATCTG